GGACGGAGCTCTCGCTCGCCGAAGCCCACGCACGGACCTCACTGTTGTTATTTGTCAGTGGAGCTCTTTCTATGGCGAGTATAGAATAAAGATGCGCATCTCAAGGAGCTTAATTCGCAGAAGGAAACAGCAGTGAGTTGCTCTCTGAAACCTCGCTGTGTTCATCAGATTTGGGATTTTTAGAGGCTTTGAAATAAAATGAAAGGTCTCGTTTCCCCAGTAAATCCTTGAATTTAAGTATTTTCCAAAATATATTCTTGAGCCAAGAAAAATTAACCGAGTTTCGAGATTTTTATGTCAACCAAATCAGCAGAAAAGCCTTTATTGCCATAATTGGAATAACAGTGACGGTGAGGTTTTATTTTCTGTTAAATTGGGAATTTGGGATGGAATCATTGGGCACATGATGTTTGAAAGCACCGTTTGTAGACCGCCTTTGCCAGTTTTGCCTCATGAAAATGTAGGCAAGTTGGTGTTTTGAAATCCCCTTTCATCATTTTTCTACTAGAGTTTACCAATTTTTTTTTTTTAATTAAGACTTCTTTTTCTGATGTTGGTTACTGGTTACTGTATCCAAAAAAAAATCAAATGTGAGAAGAAGAGACTATATTAAAAGATTACATTCTAAGAGCACTTGGTTGAAAATCAATGTTCCAGCCAAAGCCAGTTTGGATTCCAGTCAAGGACACATGCCCGGGTTGCAGGCTGGTCCCCAGTAGGGGGCGTGCAGGAGACATTATTGATGTTTCTATTGCTCCCTTCGGGTTGCAGGCTCGATCCCCAGTAGGGGGCATGCAGGAGACAGAATCATTGATGTTTCTCTCTCCCTTCCTCTCTGAATTAAATGAAAATACATTTTTTAAAAAGAAAGAAAATCAGTGTTTCACAAACACAGAGTTTGTGCAAGGTAGAGGATTTGACCCAAGGTGGTCACTCAATAATCCTAGTTTTCACTTTCTTCCACTGGGGACTAAATAATCTCTAGGTACCGTTCAGCCTCCACATTATATGAATCTGTTCACAGGCCTGCCTGCGTTTGGAAGCGTGTACTACCCAGTTTTGTCACCTCTGTCATCAACCCATGGAACTTCTTAAGTTTCTCAATTCTCTCTGAGCATAAAGACAAGTATCTCCATAGACAACTGTCTTTGGGGAAATTCCTCAATAATTCACGGAGCTGGGTGAATTGCTCTAAGACTAGGAGAGTGACTGCTATGAAGTAGGGGGACAGAAGAGGAGAGGAGAGGAGAGATCCGGAGAGAACCTGTAAGATTAAAAGTGGCTGAGACTGCAGGTGGGAGTGGCGGTGAAGGTGAAAGACCAGGAAGATGCTTACAAGGGGTGCTGGATGTCTGGGAATGGCAATATCGGCCTTCATTGGAAGGTCTATGCATTGCTGTGATGGAAAACCCTTGGTCCAGGCAGTTTACTCACCTCTTCAATGCTTCATGGACGTGGCAATTTTTTTTTCATTTTTTAATAGGGGCCAAATTTCATATTTG